TTTTATTTGTGTGTGTATCTGTTTCTTTTGTTTGCTGGTCTTCCAGTTCTGCAGATTTCTTGCTATGTCTTCAGTATTTTCCTGCCCTTTACTAAGGTTCAATACCCAGTCATTCATCAAATGTTTATTAATTACATTATTCCTTTCATACTAGGACTGTCCCAAGAAGAAAATTGCTTCATTTAACTTGTTCAAAATTTTGTTTCTAGTAATTTTTTTTTTTTATCCTCACCCGAGTACATTTTTGCATTTATCTTCAGATAGAGTGGGAGGGAGAGAGGGAAGGAGGGAGAAAGAGAAACATCGATGTGAGAGAGACACATCGAGTGGTTGCCACCCACACAACCCCAACTGAGGCCAGGGACAAGCTGCAACCGAGGTACATGCCCTTAGCAGAAACTGAACCCGGGCCTCTGGTCCACTGGCTGACACTCGAACTGCTGAGCCAAACCAGCCAAGGCTCTAGTAATTTTTAAATTACATTTATTAGGGTAACATTGGCTAATGACATTGTATAATTTCCAGATGTACAAGATTATAGTTCAACATTTGGGCTCACCACCCAAAGTCTACTTTCCTTCTGTTAGCATGTATTTGACACTTCACGGTGCCCTCACCCTTTCCCTCTGATAACCACCATTCTATGACTTTTTGTTTGTTTTGTTAGTTATTCTTCTCACACTTGAAAAGAAATCAGAATCTTGAACTTGAAGAAATCTGAAAACTTTAATGCCCAGACAAAAGTGATGATTGCGTGATCTGTCGTGTATCAGTTGCCTAGGTTACTTGATCATCAGTGGTAACATAAAGCAGTGTCTTCAGGTTAATGTGGGTGTTTTTAACCTTCAGCTACCATTCTGAATGAGTTCTGTGGGACTTGGAGACCTCCAGTGTCTCCATTACGCTAGTTTACTGCATCCGTTTGCACAGGAGTGATGGATCTGATTTGCTCTGTGTAGCTCTGCTAATAAAGTGACTGTGTTAAGGACTTATCTGATATAGTGGTTGACAAATGCCAGTTTTTTTTATTTGCATATTTTTTTATTTATCTTTATAGTTGAAAGTGTTACAGACATCATCCTTTTCCCCTCCACTGACCCACCTCCCCACTCCTGCCTCACCCCCTTTAGTGTAGTGCCAGAAGCAGGTGAAGATTCAACCACCGTTTTCTCCTCACCTTCATCCTTCAGGTTCTGAGGATGGCCAAGGGAAAGAGGAGGCATGGAGAGAAAGAGTGTTAATATATACTTGGTAGGAGAACTATTGCCTGCTTTATTTAGAACAAATTTAAAAACAAATATAAAGGATAATAATAATTAGCCCTGGCTCGGTAGCTTAGTTGGTTAGAGCATCGTCCCCATACACCATGGTTGCTGGTTCAATCCCCAGTCAGGGCACATACAAGAATCAACCAATGAATGCATAAATATTTGGAACAACAAATCAATGTTTCTCATCTCTCTCTTTAAAAAAAAAAAAATCAATAAAAAAAGATAATAATAGATAGCATTTATTGACCCTAGGTTTGTGTGAAACACTGTGTTGAGAATTTTCACAACTCTTTGTTATAGATGTTTTTTATTATTTTTTTCCTTTTTATTGAATTTATGGGAGTGACAGTGGTTAAGAAAATTATCCAGGGTTCAGGTGCACAATTCTACAACACATCATTTGTACACTACATTGTGTGTTCACCACCCCAAGTCAAGTCTCCTTGCATCATCATTTATCCCTCCTCCCACTCCCCACCCCCTGGCAATCACCACACTATTGTCGACGAGTTTCTCTTTTTTGCTCAATCCCTCCATCCCCTAGCCAGCATCCCGAACACCTCCAACCTGGCAGCTGTCAGTCTGCTCTATATCCTCTGTCTGTCTCTATTTTGCTTGTTAGTTTATTTTGTTCATTAAATTTCACATGAGCGAAATCTCATTATACTCATTTTATTTATTTATTTATTTTTTAATCTTCACCCAAGGATATTTTTACATTTATCTTCAGACAGAGTAGGAGAGAGGGAGGGGGAAAGAGAGAAAGAAATATCAACATGAGAGAGACACATTGATTGGTTGCCACCTGCACTGCCCCAGAGGGGTGGGGGACGAACTGAGGTAGGTGCCCTTGGCCAGAATTAAACACACGACTCTTTGATCCGCAGGCTGACTCTAACCGCTGAGCCAAACTGGCCAGAGCTCATTATACTCATTTTAAAGATGAGGAAACTAAAGCATAAAAGAATTTAGCACATTTCAGTTCACATAAATCCCCAATGCTCATATTTCATTTGCATTCATGCCGTTTGACAGGTCTGTTAATTCCAACATATGCTATAGTTTATTCTTTCTTAATTTCTTATTCTTTCCTTTATGTATGCAAATATTTCTATATAGATATTCATGATTCCAGTGCATTCTACTTTAAATAGTTTGAATAACTTAAAAATATCAGTGAATGTTTATTATAGCATTCAGATTTTAGACATTAATTTTCTAGAATTTCTTTTCAATATTGGAAAATTTATTATTGAAAAAATCCTCATTTATATGTATAGATATAATCTATATATATACATATATATGTATATCTATATTCTATCTATATCTATTTCTATATTATATAACTGTATATCTATATCATTTTATATATATATATATATATATATATATATATATATATGGAGAGAGAATTTAAATCCCTTCAAATCGCAATGCTTTTTAAAAGTATCTAAAATTTTTCAGTTATTTAATGCATTGTCATTTTGGAAAAGAAAATTGGTCTAATAAAAATGTCTTAAATTGAATTCAAATTATTTGTCAAAACATGCAATTCAAATAACTTTTGCTTGTACTCTACTTAAGAAAGTATCTTGCTGTATGCATCACTAATGACTATAATATTTCCAATTTTAAAAAATGCAGGTGATGTGTGATGAATTTTTTGTTCCTAGGATTTGGTTAAAAACAAAGCTATTCAAAATGAATGAACAGCTCTACCTGCCACAGTGCAGATGTGCAAACTGGGAAGTAACGTGTGTGCGTTCCTTGTCATCCTAGCTAATTTCTTGTTCCCAAAGCATTAGTAGGCAGGCTTTTACCAGTTTAAAACATTGTTATTTGTTGTGCTCAGAATAAAGAAAATAATTCAGAATATAAGAAGAATGGGCAACTGAAAGGAACCTCTATGTACACTACCCTGTATTGGAGTAGTTTATATAAAGACTTTTAACAGTGTTGATCCGAAGCTGTAGTCTGTTCCTTGTAACTTGGTAAATTTTAAAGAACTGTAATAAAAACGACCCTACTCTATGAACGTGAACTCAGCAAATATCCATGAACACACCTCCTGTCCAATGGCACCATGCCAAATGTGGGTCGTCAGTGGACAGGCTGATCGAAACCACCTGGGGCACGTACAGTTAATATATTCCTGACTCACCTCCTCTACCCCCAGAGATGCTGATACTATAGCTCTGAACTCATACCATGGAACTTTTGTATCTTCATAGACGTCCATGGTTAGGAATCAATTTAAAAGAATAGTTTTCATCCCGACCGGTGTGGCTCACTGGTTGAGCATCACCCCAAGCACCAGGTCATCAATTTGATTTCCAGTCAGGGCACATGCCCAGGTTGTGGGCCCAATCCCCAGTGGGGGGCATGCAGGGGAGGCGGCCAATTGATGTTCTCTCTCATCGATGTTTCTCTCTCTCCCCCTCTCACTTTCTCTCTCTCTGAAATTCATAAAGAAAAAATATTAAAAAATAAAAGAATAGTTTTCAACAGTGGGCAATATTTGGCAATGTTTGGAGTAATTTTTGTTTTTCACAACTGGGGAGGGTATGTGTGCTACTGGTATCTAATGGTTAGAGGCCTGCAATGCTGATAGATATCCTACAATGCACAAGAAACACTAATGTACCCATATACACAAAATTCAATCTAAAATGTCAATAGAGCCAAGACTGAGAAATACTGGTCTAGAGAACATAAGATATATCCTTAGAGAGTTCATAATTAATCAGGGTGATTAAAAGATGCATAAACATAGCATTCATTCATAATTAGTCCAAAAATAAAACAAAACAAAATTTTATTAATGTTTTGGATATTTTATGGTGTGACTAGAGACAGTCTATTTAAAAAAAAAAAATATGTGAAAGAAGCTTTGGAGAGTTATCTGCAATTGGTAGGATACTTGTATTGGAAGTTATCTGAATCGGGTATAACTTTACTTGAAAACAAGTTAAGTCCAGCCAGTGTGGCTCTGTTGGTTGAGTGTCATCCCATTCACCAAGAGGCCACTGGGTCAATTTCTGGTCAGGGCACATGCCCAGGTTTCTGGTTCAGTCCCTAGTTGGGGGCATTTAGGAGGCAGCTGATAGATGTTTCTCTCTCTCCATCTCCCTTCCTCGCTCTCTAAAAATAAATAAAAACATATATTTTTTAAAAAGTTAAAATGTTTTACTGTTCCTGAAATTTAATGAGAAACATTTACTTGTTGACAGCAGACATTCTTTTTTAAGTACTGTGAGAGAAATCAGGACAACTTCCATCAGTGACATTAAAGCAAGAAAACCAAGAAAATCTAGGAAGAGTTCAGAATCGCGCGCGTGTGTGTGTGTGTGTGTGTGTGTGTGTGTGTGTATTGACTTCATATTACTCACTCTTGCAGGTACTCTTACCTAGTTTTGCATCATCCCTAGAGATCAGAAACTCACAAGCAGGATGTACATAATGAATTACTGAAAGCTATTTCGGTTGCTGTCAATGCAGGGTTTGGATTAATAACATAACCAATTAATTCATCAAATACCTCCACTGGCTGCAGTAAGCATTAAATTTTTAGAGGAATAAGGGTAGCTATGTTGAACTCCTTTTGCAATCACAATGATAACTAAATTTTCAAACATTGGGAGATTCTGCTTCTTTTTGTCAAGGAACCAGCAGCAGACTGATTTATTCAAAATAACCAAATAATGCATGTATGTGTTTTATTTTTAGCTGTCTCATGCATCTCTGATGACAACGAGTCAGCAGAAATGGCCGAGTGCCTCAAGCAGGCAAATAGCATGCCTCCCCTTGTGCAAGAATGCACCGTCCCTTGTCGGGACGACTGCACCTTCACTGCTTGGTCCAAGTTTACGCCCTGCTCCACAAATTGTGAAACAACCCGAAGCAGACGGCGACAGCTCACAGGTAAGTGTGCTTTTCAGGTCTTAGCTTCAGACCACTGATGCACTCCTGAACTATCCAATGCCAATGTAAGCTCGAGAAAGGTAGGAAATTGTGTCAGGCCTCCACCTCTCCCCAGCCCCCCTGCTTTTGTGCCTCCTCTGTGCCTATGCTTAGCACATCCTGTGTACTCAATATCTGTGAAATGAATGAAAGATGTGAACCATTCTATAACTCAGAAGTTCTCTAATCTTCGTACAGGGTGGGGCAAAAGCAGGTTTACAGCTGTGAGTATATGAAACAGAGTTGATTCTTCCATGATTTTGTATTATTTTCCATATGAACAACTGTAAGCCTATGTTTGCTCCACCCTGTAGTCATAGTCATAATTGGCAATGTGTTTACCAGCTGTCCTGGAGTAGTTAATGGCTGCGTTCTTGGTGCCTGTCATGCCCGGATCTCAGCAAGATGGAATGCTATCATTGATTTGTAAAGAACATCAAAAGTATGTCTAACCTGTATCGTTGTCTTTTGACATTACCTTCTAAGCATTTTAGCATTTAAAAACTTTAATAGTGTGAGGTAAAAATCAAGTTGCATACATAGATTCTGCTTTTGTGGTATGTTATTAATTAATGTTGACCGCTCACGAGTTGACTCGTGTTTGCACTTGCATTAGCTATTTCAATTTTTGAAACTCGGGGTAATATAGAATTACTGTATTTGTGACTCTTTGCCCTGAGGGTCGAAGTTCGAAAAACAGCACACCGTTCTATCTTCTTGAAGTAGCTGGGGGATGGATATCTGCTGGTTCAAATGAGTGCAGCTCAGAACCTAACACTTCTTCTAAAAGAGCTCTTTACATTGATTCACCTTTTAGGCCTTCAGGGCAACTAAAAGACCACGTTTTAGAAAAAAATAGTCACTGGTATAAAAAAAATCCCTCTAGAACGTGTAAGGTGTGTGTTTCAAAAGGTGATTGCTATACAGTATACCACACCAAAAAAATGACTAAAATATATAATATGTAGCAGATATGTACAAAGTTTCAGTTAAATTCATTATGTATAAATAAAGTATACTGAAGTTTATTTAGATTGTTTCACTTTCATATGCAATTACGAAAAAATAGTCGGTGACATGAGATAACTTCTGCGTAAAACTGCCAGTCAACAATGTATTAATTATTGGTTCTGTTTACATCCATGGGATTTAATAAAAAATTAAAGCACTTACTAGCTCAATCAAGGTCCCGGAGCATTTTTGCCTGTAATATACAAGTACTTGAGGCAGTAGTGTATCTTACTACTTGCCTAGGTAAATATGCCAGAATTTTTCTTAATTGTTCTGTATTCGTATATGTGAAAAACTTAATTCGGGGAATGGAGAATAAAGGACAAATTCAAAATAATTATTGGGAAAATAAAATTGTTGGCATTGAAGAACTCAGCACAATGACCATTTGTTCTTATCAGCAGTTCCAGTGCTAATTCTCTTGTTTTCAAGACCCCTTTGTTTGAATACATTGCTTATAAGATTGAATACATTGCTTATAAGAATGTAACTCATTCTAATAGATTTACTTAATGGGTGAGAGCATTTAACAGCTTAAGTTTTTGTGAAACTTAGAATCACATATAGAAACATCAGATAAAATACACTGTGTTTCTTGCTCTCTCTTTTACAAAAATCTTTGCATATATAATTTTAAGCAGCATTGCTTATGTTTCTAAGATAAAACAATATAATGGGATATAATGTGTATTTCAATATCAGGGGGTAACTTAGGTGAAATGTGGTTTGCGGGTTCATACAGAATGAGTTGGAAGCCATTATCCAAGTTACTCTATATCTTTGAGATGAGCAAGAAAATCTCCTATAAAGGAAAAAAAAAATCCTCTAGAGGAAATAAAAAAGGTTTTAACTAGTGGCCAGTTTTTCTTTGTCTTGAAGTTTGCTATTGATATTTTATATTTGCAAACTGAGAAAGGAAAATATTGAAAATCCTAGGATATTTTATTTTGCAACTAGCATAATTTGTTATGAATTGTCAAAACTTTAATGAATTTAACATATAAAATGTACTTTTTATGTAAATATTGAAAATTTTTTTAACATTTTAAGAATTACTTATACTAAAAACTACTTAGAATTAGTTTTATAAAGTATTAATTCCTATGCTTTTAGCTGGCTAATTGATCATTTATGTATCTTAATATCTAAGTTACACCTAAACAACTTGTCAATTTAATGAAATACGTGGGTTGTGCAAAAATACCAGTTAGATAAATAATTTAGTATCATTGTTGGAAGAAAAAGACTTATTTCGATTGTGATGCAATGCTTATATTTTTTTTCTTCCATGTGATTTGGTAGTAAACTTAATAAGCAGTCCCTACAATGAATGACAATAAAAGGCAGGAATTTAGACCCTAAAACAATGTGACTCTTTACCACAGACACACACGGAGAAGCACGTGCGCGCACACTCACACGCCCCTCCATTGAATAGGGGGCCATCAAGGGTGTTTATTTTTCTCTTTCCATTTTTAACAGGAGGCATCAATATCTGGGTGTTCTATGCGTTATACCTAAACTAGAACACCACAGGTTTTAGATTGAGTGGTAATTAAAGCAGATGTTTATATAATGCTGGGAATAATCCATAGAAGATATGTCCAGGTTTTAATTAGATGTGTAATAAATAACTGGACAATCAATACACACATATTTAATGCTTGCTTGTACTTATGTGTTTTTGTGGGATTTCTCCCTCCTTCACTCTCCCTTCCAGACCTGAGATGAATAGTTATGTTCATGATGGCTTTTTGGAGGAACAGTCTATTAGTTTGGACCTGAAGGACATGTAAGCAGTCACTAGTATTTGGAGAGAACATAGAACTGGTGAGAATGTCTGGAGTAGGCCATGCAAAAGTCATAAGTCAAATGAGTAAATTCTAGGAACTGAAAATTACTAGCTTGTAACATGTGTCAATGTAAGAAGTGTCGTAACCTGTAGAGAATTTTTGTAATTTATTTGAGCCAAAACTGACAGCATAGGCCAGAGAGCAAGATCCAAGAATATCAGTTTTACAACTTCTTTTTTTGCATTTGAAATTAAGGAGGGAACATAAGAAAGATTATAGGAGAATGGGAGCAAGCAAGGTGGGAATCTTATTACAAGATTACATGTTTTCTTAAATGGTTACATCTTCAAGGGGGTATTTCTTCTGTCATGTCAAAGGTATGTTAATCTAGAGTCACAAGAACAATGGACAGGGCTTGCTTAGAAACCTTTCACTAAAGAAGTTACAAGCCTGTGGCATGACTAGCCACCACAACCTGTCCAGGTAGGAGTTTGAATATTAGAGCCCCCTTTTTTGTCCACACATGCCTGAGGCAGAGTGGTTCAACTCAGGCAGGAGGCAGACAATTATGGGCTCAGAGCCTATGGTTCTTAGTAACTATGGTGAGGAGTCCAGATTTCATTCCATGAACTGTTATAAATCACTGGAGAGTTTAAGGTAGATAAATGATGTGATCAGATTTCAATCTTTGTAAGCTGGTCCTGACTGTAGCGTGGAGAATAGATTGAAGGGAGTAAGGCACAGTGGCAATAAGATTTTGGAAGAAGACCTTGTAGTGATTTAAGTGGTGATTTGGAGGTGAGCTGAATATGGGTGATATTGGTCAGAATGGAAACAATGGACTGATTCAAGAGATATATAGATATTTGAAATGACAGGTCCTTGCCATTAAACAGATATAGGTAGTACAGCACAATGATTCAAGTATGACATTTCCAGTTTTTGTCTTGGTCATGTTGATATAACTGGGAAATGCAGAAGAAGAAAGATAGTGATATTAAAATAATGAGTGTGGATTTTACCAGGTTGAATCTGATTGGTGTGGATTTCTAGTCTGTGGCTAGAGAAAGTAGTCCATGTGTCAGCTTGTAGCATGTATTTCTAAAACAGCCATACAGCATGGAAATAGATCAATAAAGATGCCTACTTTTAATAACCAACCATGGCTAGCCAATGACCCACTAATGAGGAAACAAAAATAGTTACTAGATCTAGGAAAACTTTTTAGAATCTAGAGGAAGTATGTTGACACAAAAATTGAATCAAGTTACAGGCCTACTTTGAATCCATTAAACAGGATTATCTAGTACTCAGAGCTGTGAAAAATGACTGTGTTGTCATTATTCAAAGTTGGGATTACAACTAAAAAGTTCATTAAAGTCATTTTGGTAAGGTAAAGTCATATTCAGAATACTTAAGTTAAAAAGGCCTCTCAAAGTAGAAGCCATAGCTTTTTCTCACATTAAGGTATCCAATATGATTTTAGCATTTATTTCAATCTATTGATTCTGTCAGTTTGTGAGCTGCCTGAAAATGGGAAACAAAGTAAGTTCTACGTTGTCTATCACCCCAAAGTCTCAATCCATTGTGTGTGAGTATATTATTTTTTTCCTTGAATAAAGTCACTTGAAAAAAAGGGGGAAGGAGTCAATATTTATACCATTTTGTTAATTTCTCTGGCAACCATTAATCTCAAGGAAAGTGATGACAAGGTAATCAATCTGTTTTTATCAACATATTGTAGGGGAAATAATAAATACATTAACAAGAATTTTCTAGTTGTCGAGCCACTGTAGCAAACATTTCCTACATATTTTGTGCTGCCCTCCAACATCAAAACACTTTTTTGTCATGTTCCCTTGAATTTCCCAGTTACTCCGGGGGTTGCTTTCATTGTCCTAGGACTTAATTCCATGCACAGAAGAGTGAAAATAAGAAAGGCTTTATTTTACTTAAGACTTAATATTGTAAGAGCGTTTAAATATAATAACATGAGTGACTTTTAACAAAACAGCAGATATGAAATTAATACATCAACGTTTCTTGTTGGAACAGGAAAAAGCCGGAAGAAGGAGAAATGCCAGGATGCTGACATTTACCCGCTAGTGGAAACAGAACCCTGTCCTTGTGATGTGTTTACATCTCAACCTTATGGAAATTGGTCCGATTGCATTCTCCCTGAAAGCAGAAGGGACCCTCAGCGAGGACTGCGGGTGCAAGGGGACAGCAAGCAGTGTGGACAGGGCGTGCGCCTTCAAGCGCGAGCTTGCTCCGACAAAAGTGGAAGGCCTGTGGACCCCTCCCTCTGCGGCAGCTCTGGTAAGGAGATGCATGAGGGGTGACAGATGAGAACCTTGACATGCAACCCAGGAGGTTTGTCCAAGGTCTAGAATTAGTAGCTTTGTTATTTAATAATGTTTTCTGTTCTCCTTTGTCCATAACACAGTGCCTCTCCTAAAATATAGACATATGGAATGCACGGAACCGTATCTCATGATTATCCAGAGTGTGTTTGGGATCCTTGGCTCACCTCACTCTCGACTTCACCTTTGACCACTTGTTTGCTGGCAGTGAGCACAGTTGCTCTAGTTCACGGAGAATTTAAAAGCCCAATACAAATGCATGTGTTTTGTGGTGTTTATTGGTGCTCTGATCATATATATTTTTATATGAATGATCAGGCCTTCAATCTCTACTAAGGGAGTTTACAAAATACCAATGAAAATTTAATTTTAAGTGTTTTACAATACAATGTAAGTTTACTCTAATTAGTAGAATAAAACTGAAAAAAAAAAAGAAATTTGGTAATCTGGGAGTGTTTTATGAGATGTTATCAGTTAGAAGATGGGTTTTTTGTTTTGTTTTTCTTATTTGAACTTGAGAAGTTGAAAAATATATGTGATTGGAAAAAAGGATGAAGATTAAGTGCATTTAGGGCAAACATTGATGGAAGAGGCTGAGACTAATGATTACAATGGAGTTTATGAATTTCTTGCTCTATTTGCATACAGGGGGTTACTACTTTTTTTTTTTTTTTTAAAGAGATTGAACAAGTTAGGAATTTTATTGAGGGCATAGAAAAATTTGTGTTTGAATAGCCAACACTGAGAAAAAAAAGATTGATTCTTGGTCTCTGTCATCAAGGTCTTATGTTTTAAAAAAATTTTCTCAATAATACCACAAATGGCAAATTGAATTTAGTTCTATCACACAAGTCAGGTAAATGATAGTTTGTCTTTATTGTCAGTGTATTAGCTTGCCTTTAGGATATACCTGTGTCATTACATGAATGCAATTTAAGGTTTAATGATTTTTAAAATTTGTGCCATCATTATTCTGCTTCCTAGATTAGTCTATAGAACTGTTTTCAGTGATTTGACTTTCAGAAGCATCACAAGCAAGTAATAGACCCATTTTACAAAATAAGTTCTAGCCTTTTAACAAGTTTGATTATAACACAATATTGTTGGCTCTAGTCACTATACTGTTCATTCAATCTCTAGGACTTAGTACTTGTTGCCAGGTTTTACCCTTAAACAGCCTCTATCCTATCCATCCACCAACCTATCCGCCCCCATCACTGGTAACCACCATTTTATTCTGTTTTTATGAGTTTTGCTTTTTTTAAAGAAAAAAAATGTTTTATTATTGATTTTTTAGAGAGGGAGATAGAAACATCAATGTGAGAGAGATACATCAATCGGTTGCCCCTGCACACTCGCAAGCCCAAAACCTGGACATATGCCTTGATCAGGAATTGAACTGGGATCTCTCAATCCACCGAGTCACACTGACTGGGCAGTTTTGCTTTTTTAGATTCCACATACAAACAATAACATATAGCATTTGTCTGTCTCTGTCTGACTTATCTCAAATAGCATAATGTTCTCAGATCCATGCATGTTGTCACAAATGGCGAGATGTCTTTCTAATGGCTGAATAATATTCCAGTGAATATATATACCCCATCTTTATCTACTCATCTGTTGATGGGCACTTAGGTTGTTTCTATGTCTTGATTATTATAAATAATACATGGAAGTGCATATATCTTTTCCATATTCCATTCTCATTTCCCTTGGATATATCCCTAGAAGTGGGATTGCTGGCTTATATGATGATTCTATTTAAAATTTTTAAGAAATCTTCATATTGTTTTTCATATTAACTGAACCAATTTATATTCTATCAACAGTGTACAAGGGTTTCCTCTTCTCCACATCCTTGCCAACATTTGTTATCCCTTCTTGATGTTACCCATTCTGACTGGTGTGGTATGATATCTCCTTGTGGTTTTGATTTGTATTTCCCAGATGATTAGTCATGTTGGGTATCTTCTCATATACCTGTTGGACATTCAGATATTTTTTTGGGGAAAAAGTCTATTTGGTTCCTCTGCCTATTGTTTAATTTGATTGTTTGGTTTTTTGTTGTTATTGAGTTATATGCATTCTTTATATGCTTTGGATATGAACTCCTTATTCAATATTTATTTTGCAAAATTTTGCTCCCATTCTGGATGTCACCTTCTTATTTTGTTGTTTCTTTTGCTGTGCAAATCTTTCAGATTTGATGTAGTGCCTTTTTTTTTTTTGCTTTGTTTTTTTAGTGTCATATAAGTAATAATAATAATTACCAAAACCAATGTCAAAGAGTTTGTTGCCTACATTTTTTTCTAGGAATTTTATGGAATCAAGTCTTAGATTTAGGTTTCTGATCCATTTTGAGTTAATTTTGTGAGTTTTGTAAGACAGGCATCCAATTTCATTGTTTTGAACATATCTATCCATGTTTCTCAACACATTTATTTTTATAATTTTTTTCTTTATTGATTTTAGAGAGAGGAAGTGAGCGAGAGAGAGAGATATAAACATCGATGAGAGAGAACATTGATTGGCTGCCTCCTGCATGCCCCCCACAGGGGATCGGGACCATAATCTGGGCATGTGTCCTGATCAGGAATCGAATAGTCCACCTCTTGGGGCATGGGTCGACTCTCAGTTACTGAGCCACACAGTCCAGACTCTCAACACATTTATTGAAAGGACTCTCATTTCCCCATTTGGTGTTCCTCGTCCCTTGTCAAGTATTTGTTTTATGTCCTATCATGATCTACCCTGGAGAATGTTTTATGTACATTTGAGAAGAATGTGTGTTCTGTTACTATTGGGTAAAATGTTCTATGTAACTCAGATCCATTTGGTTAAATTATAACATTTCGTTCTTGAATTTTTTCTGTCTGGATTATCTGTCCATTTCAGAGAGTGGGTACTGAAGTTCCTTTCCATTATTTTTTATTTTTGTTCATTGGTTATACGTACATGCATATAAGTTCTTTGGTTTATCTCTTCCCTCCCCCCTCACCCCTGAAGGTTGTCAGTCTGTTCCCTACTTCCATGTCTCTGGGTCTACCCTGTTCCTCAGACTGTTATTTTCATTATATCCAACAAATAAGTGAGATCATGTGATATTTGTCTTTCTCTGCTTGGCTCTTCTCGCTTAGGATAATACTCTCCAGGTCCATCTATGTCGTCTCAAAGGATAAGAGATCTTTTTTTCTTACAGCTGCATAGTACTCCATTGTGCATATATACTACTGTTTTTTTATTCATTCATCTACTGATGGACACTTGGACTGTTTTCAGATCTTAGCTATTGTAAATAGTGCTGCTATGAACATGGGGGTACATATATTCTTTCTGATTGGTGTTTCAGGCTTCGTAGGGTATATTCCTAAAACTGGGATCACTATGTCAAATGGCAATACAATTTTTAATTTTTTGAGGTAACACTATAGTGTTTTCATAGTGGATGCACCAGACTGCATTCCCACCAGCAGTGCACTAGAGTCCCCTTTTCTCCACACCCTCACCAACACTTGTTGTTTGATGATTTGTTGATAGGGGCCATTCTGACAGGCGTGAGGTGATCCCTCATTGTTGTTTTATTTTGCATCTCTCTGATGATTAGTGATGTTGAGCATTTCTTCATATGTCTCGTGGCCATTTGTATGTCCTGTTTGGAGAGGTGTCTATTCAGCAACTCTCCCAATTTTTAATTGGGTTCTTTGTCTTCCCTTTGTTGCGTTGTATGAGCACTCTATATATTTTGGAAATTAACCCCTTATCTGATACATCATTGGCAATTATGGCCTCCCATATAGTGGGATCCCTTTTAATTTTGATGGTTCTTTTTCTTTTTTTTCATTTAATTTATTAATTCATTTATTTTTGTTACAGATGTTTCTCCTTTTTTCCCCACTGATACCCCCTTCCCCACCCTTCCTGCCCTGTCCCCAGCTTTGTTGTCCATGTCCATTGTTCATGCAGACATGCATATAAGTTCTGTGGTTTATCCCCCCCAAAACCCCTTTTCTGGGTATTGTCAGTCTGTACCCCACTTACACATCTCTGGGACTACCCTGTTCCTCAGACTGTTATGTTCATTATATTCCACAAATAAGTGAGGTGATACTCATTGTTGTTTTAATTTGCATCTCTCTGATGATTAGTGATGTTGAGCATTTCTTCATATGTCTCTTAGCCATTTGTATGTCCTGTTTGGAGAGGTGTCTATTTAGTTCCTCTGCCTATTTTTTAATTGGGTTCTTTGTCTTTCTTTTGTTGAGCTCTATGAGCACTCCATATATTTTGGAAATTAACCCCTATCTGATGTATTATTAGCAATTATGCTCTCCCATACAGTGGGTTGCTTTTCAATTTTGGTGGTTGTTTCTTTTGCTGTGCAGAAGCTTTTGAGTTTGATGTAGTCCCATGTGTTCATTTTCTCCTTTTTTTCTGTTGCCTTAGGTGATGTATCAGTGAAAATTCTGCTGTGCATGATGTCTGAAATTTTGTTGCCTACAGTTTCTTCTAGGATTTTTATGGATTCATGAGTCACATTTATGTCTTTTATCTATTTTGAGTTTATTCTTGTGTAGGGTGTAAGTTGATGGTCTAGTTTCACTTTTTTTGCATGTAGCTGTCCAATTTTCCCAACACCATTTATTAAAGAGGCTGTCTTTACCCCACTATATGCTCTTGCCCCCTTTGTCAAATATTAATTGAGTATATTGTCTTGGGTCCATTTCTGGGTTCTCTATTCTGTTCCGTTGATCTATATTCCTGTTCTTGTGCCAGTTACAGGCTGTTTTGATTACAGTGGCTTTATAGTATAACCTGAAATCTGGTAATGTGATCCCTCCAACTTTGTTCTTCTTTTTCAAGTATGCTGTGGCTCTTTGGGGTCTTTTTTGGTTCCATATGAACTTTTGAAGTATTTGTTCTAGTTCTGTGAAATATGTTGCTGGTATTTTGATG